GAACCCTGGCCCCGCGTGCTACGACACGCTGCAACCTTGTAGATCGAACTGCCTCTGTACGCTTGGAAAACCGTTTCACACTGGACACAACGGGGCCCCGTGCGGATCGAGAAAATTCCGATCGTAACGTCAGGCGGCAAACTTGCAACCATAGGTCTCAGAAGACCACAGAACAGGGCAGAGGTCACAGCAACAGCCCCAGCAACAGCTTGGAAACTGTGAATCTACTATGCATTCACAACAGTTTGACCTCGGACGAGCGCCAAGCAACCGTTAAGACCCACGATGGCAACGCAATCGCCCCCCCTCCCCTCCACAAAGCCTAAATAAAGTACTAAAATGTCGGTACCCCGTAGAACCATGGAGCAAGGAAACATTCGACTTGATTCCGTGCTGTATTGCAGTGGAAAAACAAAAAAATAGGCATTCACAGTTTCAGGAATGGAGCCTCCAACACAAGTCGATGGTCCTTCATAATAGCAGTGGCGGAGCAGGCGTCAACCGCTCGAGGAATGGCATAGGTCCTAGAGAAATGTGCCCTTTCCAAACTGTGTACTTCAGCAGTGGCTGTCTTCTGATCGTGCTTCTCGACATGCGTGCCGCTGATATGCAATCTGTTAGCATCCATCCTGATAGTGATGTCCTTGGGCCCCAAGTGCGAATCCACAGGCACCTCCAAATGCAATTTCCTATGTTCCGCATCACCCATCACAACGGCACCGTCATTGCCTGCGCAGGAAAAAAAGTGGGGAACAGTTATGAAGGGGAAGCAGTCAAGATATATATCGGGTAGAAGAAGTGGCAAATACTTACCGGTGATAGCAAGTTCCATCCCAGCAGGCGCTTCTTCGTGCGGTTTTGCGGTAAGACAAAGCTTGCGATCGCCGTCAAATTTGTAGACGCTGTAGTCGGGTTCTTTCAGCGGCGCATCCACCACCAATACACCGTCCTGCGACGCAGAAAACAAGTTTAAGGAGGGTCCTAAAAATGAGATTCCACACGGAAGGTCATTAACTCACAGACGTCAAGGTAGCATGAAATTCGTCCTTGTTCACTTTG